TTTGCAAACCCTGGTCACCCCTCTTCCTTTATTTAAACTGCAGTACAGCTCTGTGATAAAGGCTGATAATAATATCTGTCACTCATATGGCGCTCACAGTGTCCTAGATATTCTTATGAGCGCTTTACATACATTCACACGTTAATGGTTCAACAACCCTGTAAGGTTGCCACTATTATGATACCCACTTACAAATAAGGATGTTGAGGCACAGTCAGGTAAACCTTGCCCAAGATCACAGGGCTGTTAAGGAGCGGAGCTTGGATTTGAGGCATTGATGTTTGATAGGATGACGGCACATTTTGTATCCATTTTTCAGACAAGAAAAACAGAGGCCTAGGGCCGCAGCCAGCTCTGTCCTGCCCCCCTGTGTGACCTCAGACTGGTCTTGGCATGTCTCTTGGTCTCTTTTTTTTTTTTCCTTCTCTGCAGAACTGAAAGGATAAGCCCTGCCCTGCTCTCTTCTCAACTCTGAACAAACATGAGGTGTGGGGGTGATGATGGTGGCAGGACGAGGCTAAGCCTGAGCACCCCCACACTGGCCTTGCTGTCTGTGCCAAGGTCACTGTGTGTTGGGAGCCTTGCGGCCTTTCCTGAGACCTCCTGTCTTATGCACAGGTGGAGGGAGAGTAGGGTGATGGGATGGCATGGAGCAGGGAACTTGGCTGAGGGCCCGACTCCCATCTTCTGGGTAAAGTCCTGAAGTGAGAGCCCAGAAAAATCACAAGGGTCCAGCTCCCTAGCCATTGACCAGATGGAGAAACTGAGGCCCCAAAAGTGGAGGTACTCACAGTCACTCAGAGAAGTGGATGCAGAGGTGGGGCTAGAATTCATCTCCATGCCCTTCCCATTGCCTGTGCTAGGAGTGTGGCTTCAGATCTGAGGAGGCCTTAGACCATTGGTTCATTCCTTCCTTCATTTGTTCGTTCATCCTTTCATTCAGCTAGTCAACAAACATTTCCTGAGTGTCCACTCTGTCAGATGCTAGATTTAATAATTGTAGGTATGACTGTGGTCCCTGCCCTCATGGAGTTTCTAGTCTAGCACTGTGCTGCCCAATGCAGTAGCCTCTGGCCACATGTGGCTGTTGAGCACTTGAACTGCAGCTGTCCCAACCTGAGATGTGACACGAGTGTGAAATACACACTGGATTTTGAAGACTTAGTATGGAAGAAAAAAGTAAGATATCTCAATATTTTTTTTTTTTTAAAGACAGAGTCTTTCTCTGTCACCCGGGCTAGAGTGCAACAGTGCAATCTTGGCTCACTGCAGACTCTGCCTCCCAGGATCAAGCAATTCTCCCGTCTCAGCCTCCTGAGTAGCTGGGACTACAGGCATGCGCCACCAAGCCTGGCTAATTTTTGTATTTTTAGTAGAGACGGGGTTTCACCATGTTGGTCAGGCTGGTCTTGAACTCCTGACCTCAGGTGATCTGCCTACCTCGGCCTCTCAAAATGCTGGGATTACAGGTGTGAGCCACGGCGCCCAGCCATTAATAACTTTTTATCTTGATTACATGTAGGAATGATATTTGGAGTATATTGGGTTAAACAAAACATTAGATTAACTTCTTCTGCATCTTTTTACTTTCTTAAACAGTGGTTACAGGAGATGGTGGTTCATATCTGTAATCCCAGCACTTTGGAAGGCTGAGGCAGGAGGATTGCTTGAGTCCAGGAGTTTGAGACCAGCCTGAGCTATATAGGAAGACTCCATCTGTACAAGAAATAGAAAAAATTAGCTAGGCGTGGTGGCACACGACTGTAGTCCCAGCTACTCGGGAGGCTAAGGTGGAAGGATCGCTTGAGCTGGGGAGTTCGAGACTGCGGTGAGCAGTGATTGTGCCACTGTAGCCCTGCTCATTCCTCCAAGAGGACGTGGCTTCTTCCTCTTGCCAGTGAGGAGGCCTCTCTGGGCCTGTGTGAGCAGCTGAGTACTTGGAGGCACCAGCTCTGTGGCTGCACCACCTGGACCTGGTCTTGATTCTGCCACTCACCATCTGTGACCCGCCACCCCACAGTGACCCACATGATTACAATTGTGCTATGGGTCTTTTTTTTTTTTTTTTTTGAGACAGGGTCTTGCTCTGTCACCCAGGTGGGAGTGCAGTGGTATGATCACAGCTCACCGCAGCCTCGAACTCCTGGGCTCAAGCCATCCCCACGCCTTAAGCTCCTGAGTAACTGGGACTACAGGTGTGCTCCACTACGCCCGGCTAATTTTTTAAAAAATAGAGACAGGATCTCACTTTGTTGCCCAGGCTAGTATCAAACTCCTGGGCTCGAACAGCCCTGCTGCCTTGGCCTCCCAAAGTGCTGGGATTACAGGCATGAGCCACTGTGCCCGGCCTGTGCTAAGTTTTGCAGCGAAAGCACTTGAGCAGGTTAATGGCAATGTCCGGCCAGTGGAGGAGTCGACATTTGAGTGGAGGCCCCCAGGGTAAGGAGAAGCAACTAGAGGGGAACAGCAGAGACCCTGAGAGAAGCAGGTCAGCGTGGCTGAGGCTCAGAGATCTGGCACGAGATGGGCCCTGGTGGTGGACAGAGGCCAGATCACAGGACTTCAGGGGCCACACTGAGAAGTTTGTTCTTTATCTGGAGGGCAGCTGGGAGCCATGGAAGGTGTGTAAGCATAGGAGTGCCTGGAAGCCTCCAGCGCTCTCTGGCCTTGCATAATGATTGAGAGAGGTAGAGCCTGAAGCTGGCTTTCTCTTCCTCCAGAGAGGTGGCCATTGGCAGGGCTCGAATTCTCACCAGGTGGAGCTTGCTGGAACTCCACCTTCACTGCTCTCTCGCCGCGGGGCTGTGTGACCTCAGCCAGATGACCTGCCTGCCTCTCTGTGCTTCGGTTTCCTTGTCTGTAAAACAGGGATAACGGTAGTGATTCACTCAAGGGTTCTGCGAAGACTCGGTGACGTAACGCTTGGGAAGTGCTTGGCACAGAGTAGGTCCACAAATAGTTGTCCCTTTTCCTTATCCCTTCCTGAGTCCCCCCCACCCCACCTGTCAAACACCATGCCCCCGCTCCTCAGGCGGCAGGAAGCAGGATCGGAGGAGCGTTTCTGCACCCGTCAGAGTATTTATAGCTGTGTGCTGTCAGCCCGATGTTGTTTTTCGGTTGCATATATATTTTTACATTTTCCACCGTCACACATGGTTTCTCAGTGTGGTTGAGAAGCAGCGGGGGTGGAGGGTGAGGTGGATGGATGCAGAGAGTGGAGAGTGTAGGAGGTGGAGCCAGATGGCCCAGGACAGCACCGAGGGACGGCCTGGGTCACTTATCTCTCAGCTCAGAAGCCGTCATTGGCTCCCTGTTACCCTCTGCCCACAGCCCGATCTCTTTCGCCGTGGGTCCAGGCCCTCCCGAGAAGGATTACATGCAGGAATGACACTGCGCTTCGTAGCTGCGTTTCTCGCCACTCGCTCTCTCCACTCCCCGCATCTGAGCCACTTTCTTCTCTCAGTGCATAACCAGGGGAAAGCGAACTGGACGTAGCTCTGTTACTCACCAGCTGCGTGACCTCAAGCCAGTTTCTTTACCTTTCTGAGCCAACGTTTCCTTTCCTGTGAGACGGGAGCACTAACTCCAGCGTTCTGGAGCTGCCGCGAGGATTCAGTGTAAAGGCCCATAAATCCACGGACGCTATTACTAGGCGCGCTTCAGTCGCGTGTCTCCAGGCCTTTGCACAGGCCGTTCCCTCCGCCAGGAATTCCCAGGCCACCTCTTCAGGGAGTCCTCCAGGCCTACCGCTCCCCCGCACCTCAGCCCATCCTCTCTGGGAGGGGACTAGGAGAGTTCTCTGTACCGAAATTCTTTCTCCTCTAAAAATAGATTTCACACTCCTTGCTTATAAAAATAATCCGTACCCTCCCAATACCAAGCCTTTCCATGTTCCTGCTCTATCCTCACCCAGTTCCCCGGGAAGTGGGTACCATGTCTCTATTCTACCGGTGTGGAAGTGGATTCAGGAAGGGAAGTGACTCATCCCAGCTCTACTCAAACTCAGACTTCAGACTCAAGGCCCCGTGGTTATTGCTACGCGCAGCCTGGCATGGCCTCCCTCCCCTACACAAGGCAGAGTTGCCTTCAGAATCTGTCACGTGAGTGATCATGCAACCCCACAGGGTGTTCTGAGGAAGCAGAGGGACCCTGAACTAGATCCCATGGCTTGGTGCCCAGGACACCCTCCCTTTCCTTGTGGGTCACTGCCTCCAGTCTCAGAGCCCACCCAGGCTCCCCTCTGCTCTCTGACCTCCTTCTCCCAACTTGGGAGCCCAGGGCCCCCCACTCCCTGCCTGTCGGGGGCCGGGCCCTGGGAGCTGGCTGTGTACCCCTAGCCTTGGCATCTGAAATGGGTGGAGCTGGCCGTAGAGAGCACTGTTGCTAGGCAACAGTCTGGCAAAGAGTGTCAGGCACCCTGAGAGGAAACTAAAAGGGGCCTTCCCCTGGGGGCTGGAGGGGAACAAGGTGGGGATGGAAAGAAGGGCCTCCACCTCGCCAAGACCTACACCTCATCTTCACCCTCTCACTTATTATTATTATTATTTGAGACGGAGTTTTCACTCTTGTTGCCCATGCTGGAGTGCAGTGGTGCAATCTTGGCTCACTGCAACCTCCACCTCCCAGGTTCAGGCGATTCTCCTGCCTCAGCCTCCCAAGTAGCTGAGATCACAGGCACCATGCCTGGCTGATTTTTTGTGTTTAGTAGAGACTGGGTTTCACCATGTTGGTCAGGCTGGTCTCGAACTCCTGACCTCAGGTGATCCACCCGCCTTGGTATCCCAAAGTGCTAGGATTACAGGCGTGAGCCACTTTGCCTGGCCTCAACCTCTCACTTATTTACTCACCTCTACTCTCATTCATTAATTCATCATTACGCTCACTCGTTAATTAGCTTGTTAATTTATTTACTTGCTGTCTGGTGAATCACGGCTTCACTACTTGCTGCGACTCTGTTACCCCATCTGTGAAATGGGAATAATGACCATATAGATTTCACAGGGTTATGGTTACACCGCCCATGGTGAGCAATGTTTGTTCTTATGATGATGTTATTCACGATATTTCCTAAGCACCAGTTCCGTGCCTAGTGTCATGCAGGGCTCTGCGGTGATGGAGGTAAATGAGCTCTCAGCTCAGTAGGAGAGACAGATAAGACCATGGGTGGAGCAGGCATGGGCCTTGCCCATCACCTCCAGATTTCCTCTGATTGTTTTGTGGGCACATAGGGGAGTGTTAAGGGCAGGGGCTGTGAAGCCCGGCACCATGGAATTGTAGGCTGACCCTTTACTTACTAATACTGCACTCTCGGGTGACAGATTTAACCCCTCTGACCTTGGTTTTTCATCTGCAAAGTGGGACCTGGCAGTAACCATCTTCCTGGATCTAGAGAGGATGCAGTGAGATCATGCACGACCCTTTCTGGGCACAGGGTCAGCTTGCAACAGGGCAGCGATTATTGTTACTGGTGCACGGTGGGAACCGAGCCTCCCCAGGGTGCCATGAAATCCCTGAGGGCCGGGACCCAGTTTCTCCTCCTTTTTCTCTCTTTGCTCCACCTTCCTGGGTCTGCCTACTCTTTTCCACCTCCAGCCGTATGCTCATGCCGTTCCCTCTTCCTGAAATAATCTTTCTCGTTATTTCTCCTAAAGCTCTAATATAGTTCTTGGAGGCTTCAGGCCCCAGCTGGGATGCCTCACAAAGCGAATCTGGGGTAGATTTTCAATAAACTCCTCACTTATCTCCTGCTGCAGCCAAGCCCCCAGGACCCCATCTCCTTGGAGGAGCCAAGTGGGGTGGCTGCAGCCTCTGCAAGCAAGCTGACTCCTTTGGGGCATAATTCACCCTTTCTCATAGCCTCTGTCCCCCGAGGCCAAGCCTACAGGGTCCATCTCTGCAGATTTTCTGCCCACGAGTTCCCTGGAGCACAGAGAACACTCCCAAGAGAGAGAGTCCTTGTCACACCACTCATGATCTCCCAGGCTGCTTCTCTCCAGTGCTTAGCACATGGAGATGCATTCATTTTTTTGTGAGCACATTTATTGACTGCGTGGCTCCCATGCCAGCCTGGACACTCTGTGAGGCCAGGCTCTGCCTCTGGTTTCCCCACTCAGTCCCCAGCACCCAGCCTAGTCCTGGTGCATAGGAGACGCTTGCCACACAGCTGCTGTGTGGGTGGATGGACGGATGCATGAAGAATCCGTGGTGTGGAGCACATGGGGAAGTGGCCTTTGTTCTTCCATATAGAACAGCAGAGGCGGGAAGACCAAGGATCAGAAATTCCAGAGGTGAGTTTCAGCTCTGTGAGCCCAGACAGGTGGGATCCCGTTTTGGGGGGCTCAGTTTCCTCACCTATGCCATGTCTACATAATAGTGCCTACCTTGAGGAGATGACTGTGAGCATCCAATGATATGAATTGGGAGACCCAGAAGGCAATGAGGGCCTGCCAGAGGTTGGGGCTGGATCAGTTGCACAGATTCATGCACCAGTCACTGTCCTTCCCCTGACACCCCTGCTGCCCTGGGCAAGACTTAAGAACTTGGTGACTCGCTAGTTCAGGTGACAGAGGGGCCTGGACGCTCCTTATGGGTCTCTCTTTGGGAGATGAGCCTCTGATTGAGTCTAGATCCTGTAGAAATACAGTGTGGGCCAGAGGCCAAGTCATGCATGCTTCTGAGCCTTGGCTTCTTCGTCTATAAAATGCACTATAATATAGGATGACTGTGGCGGCTTATGCCTGTAATCCTAGCACTTTGGGAGGCCAAGGTGGGAGGATCGCTTGAGCCCAGGAGTTTGAGAACAGCCTGGGCCACATACGGAGACTGTGTCTCTACAAAAAAATAATAAAACTGATGATGTGTAGTGGCATGTACCTGTGGTCCCAGACACTTGGGAGGCTGAGGCGGGAGGATCACTTGAGCCTGGGAGTTAGAAGTTGCAGTGAGCTGTGATTGTACCACTGCACTCCAGCCTGGGTGACAGAGCAAGACCCTGCCTCAAAATAAATACAATATAATACAACACAATAATAAAGCATTGAAATAAAATGAAATGGGTGGTAATAGAACTCTATGGGGTTGTCCCGAGGAAACAAGTAGGTCCCATGGCTTGGTGCCCACAGCTATTAGGATTTTTCTTGTCAGTCATGGTAGATTTTGTTTCTTCCATAAAGAAGAACCTATTTAGGTGTTTTTTTTTGTTTTTGTTTTTTTTTTTTAATACCTCTCTGTGAATCGAGATTCCGTGACTCTGACTTCCTGGCTGACCGGGTGAGTCTGGCTCAGTTCTCAGTGTAAGCCACACCCCAATCTTCTACCTCCCACGCGGCCTCTCTCTGTTCTGTCTCAGATGGCCCTCTGCTTTCCACGGGAGGCCTGGGCTCAGTCTGGGACTAGGATCTGAGCTTAGACTGGGGCGGAAACTAGGCTCCGTCTGGAAGCAATATTGAGGTTCAGGCTGCCTGGGAATGAGGAGTCTGAGGATGACCTGGGTTGGTTCTCATTCAATGCCAGGATTGTCTGTGACAAGTATTTCAGCCTGGGTTCCTGGAGACAGATTCTGGACTGCGTGTGTGTTTCTTGGGGGCATGTCCTTGGGAGATCCACCTGGAAGGAAGGAGCAAGGCTGACTGGGCAGGAGACTGACCCACCGTGAGGCTGCAACTGAGGTCCCTAGGAGGACCCCTGGAGCTGATGATCCCCTAGAGTTTCCCAGTTGAGAAGGAGCCGTGCCTCTGCAGTCACACATGGGTGAGGCACTGGCCACGGGCTGTCCCTGGCAGGGGGCGTAACCCAGGGAGGTAACAGCAATCCCCACAGCTCAGCCCTGAAGAGGGGCTCTGGAGCGCGGAGTAGTCCCCACAACCCACCCCAAGGCTCAGACTCACACCAGTGTTTCAGTCAGACACTGGATGTCCTCACAGGACAGGGTCTTTGTCCCCAGCATCTAGCACAGGACCTGGAGGGACAGCACAAGCCTCGGCCTGCAAATGGAGGAAGAAGAGGAAGTGTGAAGTGGCGCCCTGTGCCCCATTGTGTGGGCCCGTCGCTCAGCTTCCCACAGAGGTTCAGAGAGGGCTGGCCACCTGCGTAAGGTCACACAGCTGCTCAGGGCAGAGCCAGGATTGGAACACAGGACTGGCTGAGTCTAGAGCTTATGGTATCTCAGCAACATCAGACTGTGAGCTTATTAGAAAGCAAGGGCCGGGGGGAAGGAAAAGAAAGCCGCTCCTCACAGTTCCCGGAGCAGGGCCCACCAACTCTGGCTGCCTCTGGCCAGCCCACCAGGACCCGTGCCCAGGGGAGGGAGCGGCATCCTGCGGGTGGGCGGCCTTTCTTGGGTAATGAGGCCCAGCCGGCAGTTTGCAGGCCTTACCATGTGAATAATTCATTTGCAACCAAGTCTGGGAATTAGAAACTGTTACTGGATGATTTATTTAACAGGTGCTGGTGAGAGGGGAGGAGGATTTTGAAGTATAAAAGGGAAGTACATGTCTTGTAGATAGATTCAGAGGGTCCCACAGACCTGGGTTGCAGTCCAGTTCTGCCTTCTATCAGCTGTGTGTCCTTGAATAAGTGACTGGACCTCTCTGTGCCTCAGTTTTCTTGGTTGCAGAAAGGCGATAATAATAGAGTTGTTCAAAGGATTGAATGAGTTAGAATTTGGAGAGCACTTAGAATCATGCCTGGTTCATAGAGAGTGCTCAGTAAGTGTTTGTTGTTTGAATACATGAGAGCTTATATAGAACAGGAGCTTAATTGAGCATGTATTTTGTGACAGGCCAAGTTCTTTTTTTTTTTTTTTTTTGAGACGGAGTCTCGCTCTGTCGCCCAGGCTGGAGTGCAGTGGTGCGATCTCTGCTCACTACAAGCTTCGCCTCCTGGGTTCACGCCATTCTCCTGCCTCAGCCTCCTGAGTAGCTGGGAGTACAGGCGCCCGCCACCACGCCTGGCTAATTTTTTGTGTTTTTAGTAGAGACCGTGTTAGCAAGGATGATCTCAATCTCCTGACCTCGTGATCTACCCACCTCAGGCTCCCAAAGTGCTGGGATTATAGGCGTGAGCCACTATGCCTGGCCGGCAGGCCCTGTTCTAAGAGCTTAACATGTGTTATCTCATAGCACTCATGTAAATTGGATATTATTATTATTACATCTGTATTAGAGATGAGAAAATAGAATCTCAAACTGGAGCTCAGACAGCTAGTCCTGGCAAAGCAGGGATCTGAACCCAGCCAGGCCTCCCTGACTCCAGGGCCCACACAGTTACCCACCCTCCCATATCACAGATCTGATGCACAGGTTAACACACACCTGGTTCTTATTTTAAGAAAAATGTCCCTTTCCCCCCCAAAGCGTTTCCACTTTCATCATGACATTTGATTCTATTAACAAACCCGAGAGGTGGTCAGGGATGTGTGGTCTCTCTTTCAGCTGAGGAAGCTGAGGCTCAGAGAAGGACATGATTGTTCAATGTCCCACAGCCCCACATGGAAGCCAGGTCTCCCCGAGGTCTCCTAGCAATGATCACAATATATCTTATAACAGCTCAACCCCAGGCGTGTCTGCTCACACCGAGACTGCACTCCTGGAAGGCAAAGGTTGTGTCTTGGTTTTGCCCGATTCACTAAAGGTCCTTATTAAATAGCAAAGGAAGGAAGGGAGAGAGGGAGGAAGGGAAGCAGGGAACAAGGGAGGGAGGCAGGCAGGCTGATATAGCAGGTACACTGTCTCTTTTCATCTTGATGCTGCTCCTGCCATAGCTCCCCACACCCCCCAGTAAAACACACACTGGAACACGTGCTCACACGCTCCTGTCCAGGGTGAGTCAGTGTGGCCCCTAAGCCAGGCTGCCTGGCACTTGCTGTGAATCGACCCAGGCACTTCTGAGGGGCCAGGTGTCCTTGGCCTCCCACAGGAGGTGGCACTTTGCTAGACCCTTGCAGAGGGTGGCGGGGTCTCCAGGCCTCTCCCTGGATGTGAGCACAGGGACACAGCAGCTCTGCCCCGTCCACCAGCTGCTGGCGGGCCTCCCAGGCTGTGCGGTACGCTGTGTACGCGTGCGTTTGGGTGTTTGTGATTGCATAGGGTCTGTGTGTCTGTGGATGTGGGACTGGTGTGTTTGTAGATGGGTACTGAGGATATTTTTGAATCTTGTAGGTGTGTTGTGTATCTCTGCACGTATTTGTGTTTGTGTGGGCGGTATGTTCTGTGCGGGTATCTGTATATGGGTATTTCGATTTGGAGTGATGGGATAGGTGTGTGACTGCGTGTGTGTGTGTGAATGTGAATATGTCTATGTGTGTATTGGGTGCTCTGGGGGGGTTGTGTGGATGTACATATACGTCTATCCATACAAGTGTGTATCTGTGTGAGCCAGTCTGTGTGTGTTTGTAGAATCTTATATGTATACAGATATTTGCATATCTGAATTTGGGGAGCATTTCTGGCATGTGGGGTGTGTGTGTGTGCTACGTGATATGTGTGTGATGTAGGATGTCTGTGGGGGTGTATGTGTGATATGTGTTGTTTGTATGTTGTGGTGTGTTGTTTGTATGGTGTGGTGTGCTGTGTGTATGGTGTGTATGTGGTGTGTGATGTGTAGGGGTTGTGATATGTGTGTTGTGTATGTGTGCTGTGATGTGTGTGGCATGTGATGTGTGTGCTTATGTGATATATGGTATGTGATGTGTGGGGGTTGTGTGTGGTGTGTATATGTGGTGCGTGATGTGTGGGTATTGTGTGTGATGTACGTGTACACTGATGTTTGGGGGTTGTGATGTGTGCAGGTGTGTAGTGTATGTTGTGTGTTAGGTGTGTGTGTATGGTGTGGTGTGATGTGTGGGTTGTGTGTTTGTGGTATGTTGGTATTGTGTGTATTGGTGTGTGATGTGCCTGTGTGTGTGTTGTGTGCAGGCGTATATTGTGTGTGATGTGTGTGGGTTGCGTGTGTGTAGTATGTGTGTTATGTGTATGTTGTGTGTGTGGTATGTGTGGTGTGTGATGTGTGTGGAGGGTGTGGTGTGTGGTTTGTATGTTGTGTGTGTTGTGATGTATGTAATGTGTGCTGTGTATGATGTGTGTGTGATGTGTGTGGGGGTGTGTGTTGCATATTATGTATGTGTTGTGTATGAGTGTGTGGTGTGTGTGGGTATGTGTATATGATGTGTGTTGTGTGATGTGTGTGTGTTGTGATGTGTACAGGTGTATGGTGTGTGATGTCTGCAGGTGTGTGTTGTGTGTGTATGTTGGTGTGTGATGTGTGGGGGTTGTATGTGTTGTGATGCATA